CTCTCTGCATGACAGAATTGGAAAGGCCAAAGCCACAGTGGAAATGCAGGTGGAGGGAAGTGATAAAAGTTAGAAGATCTCTAGGATCCACAAAGGAAAGGCAACATCAATCCTGAAGAGACTGTATCAAACCACTTAGTGGTGGCATTTAGTTCCTATCCCTCTATTATTACAACTAGTATTACTACCCCAGTCATTGAATATGAAGATGTACTAGAATATTGTTTCTAGTAGTGGTCAGAACTCATGCTGAAAACTTTTTTTTCCTTTCCAAGTTTTTATTTAAATTCCAGTCAACATATAGCCTAAAGAAAAAAAGCTAAGGGAAAAAGCCTTGTTGATACACTAACCTAAAAATACATTATTTTATTAAATCCTCACATCAACCTATTTATAGGTTGGGTAGATTATCTAGGCTTCTAGGGGAATAGTTTTCCCAGTTTCTACACATCAGATTCCTCCTGCAGGGTGACAATTCAACTTTAAATTCAATTTTTCAAACAGCAAATGTTTAGTACAAATATTAGTCTATATTTTTTCATCCCCTTACATTTTTCAAAGTGCTTTACCAAACATGTCCTGATGATCACAATCCAGAGATGTAAGCAGAGAAAATATTATGCCAATGTTACCAACTAGGAAATGGAGAAAGGTAGGTAAATGATAAATCAGGCCAATGGAGAAAACGTAAGTAACTTGTAAGTAAATCAGGCCAATAATTTAAGTGCCGTATGACTATCACAAATATGCACCATCTTTCTACCTAAAGTCAGTCAATCGACATCCACATGACTAAATCTGTTATAATCAACAAGAAAATATAGACAGGTAGCTATTCAGCACCTCCTGTGACTAAAACAATGTTTGGCACATAGTAAACATACAGATCAGTTTTTATTGGAGGTAAAGACAATGTCCACCAAATAAGGGTTATTAGAAAAACTGAGTCACGCACTTACAATGGTACCTGTCTGTAGCAAACACTCAATATTAGCCACTGCTTAAAGAAAAAAAAATTCACATGGGTATTCTAGGCAGAGGAAATAGAATGTGTAAAAAGGCCTGGAGCCTAAGTGCAGATTTCATCAATATGACTGAAGCATGGTGGGCAGCATGCAATGAAGCTGGAGAGGTACCAGGGCAGACCAGGTAGGGCCTTACAACCCATATTAGTGATTAAGGACCCTTTTAAACTGGAAACAATGAAAAACATTAAACAATTTTTTGCAGGGGAGCAACAAGTTTCGATCTTTTTAAAGAACATTCTGACTTCAGGTAGAGAATGGAATGGAGATGGGCGCCTGTGTGGCTTGGTGGTTGAGCGTCTGCCTTTGGCTCAGGTCATGATCCCGGGTCCTGGGATCGAGTCCCACAGGAGCCTGCTTCCCCATCTATGTCTCTGCCTCTCTCTCTCTGTCTCTCTCATGAATAAATAAATAAAATCTTAAAGAAAAAGAAAAAAAAATGGAATGGAATGGAGAGATGAAGGTGTTCTAGGAGACACATAAGAACTATTTCAACAGTCTGGTCAAAAGATGGAAGCTGGTGCTTTAGGCTAGGTTAGTTGCAGCAGAGAACGAGGTGAGTGAATTAATTCGATACTTACTGAATACTTGGGAAGTAGAATCAACAGCACCAGTCAACTGGACTTTCTAATTCACTGATGTAGCAGGTGAGGAATGGGAAGAACCAAAACTACAAGGGTTTTTTTTTTAAATAGTCGTTTATTTATTTATTTTTAATTTTTATTTATTTATGATAGTCACACAGAGAGAGAGACAGAGACACAGGCAGAGAGAGAAGCAGGCTCCACGCACCAGGAGCCCGACGTGGGATTCAATCCCAGGTCTCCAGGATCACGCCCTGGGCCAAAGGCAGGTGCCAAACCACTGCGCCACCCAGGGATCCCGGGTTTTTTTTTTGTTTTTAAGTTTTATTTACGGGATCCCTGGGTGGCTCAGCGGTTTAAGTGCCTGCCTTCCGCCCAGGGCGTGATGTTGGAGACCCGGGATCAAGTTCCACATCAGGCTCCCGGCATGGAGCCTGCTTCTCCCTCTGCCGGTGTCTCTGCCCCTCTCTCTCTCTCTTTCTCTGTGTCTCTCATGAATTTAAAAAAAAAAAAAAAAGTTTTATTTACTTAAGTAATCTCTACACCCAATGTGGGGCCCAAGCCCACGACCAGAGATGAAGTTACACGTTCTTCCAACTGAGCCAGCCAGGCACCCCAGACCACCAGGTACCTGGAGAAAGAGCATGTTGAGGAGAAGGTAAATTGTCTTGGACATATGAAGGTCAGGTGTACATAATAAATCTAAGTGGAAATACCTGGTAGGCAGCTAAAGAAGTGCTGAGAGGAGTCCAGGCTAAAGACAAAGATGAGGGAAATACTGACTTGAGGAGAAAGGAGAGAATGCAGAATAAGAAAGCAGAGTGACACAGAATATAGTACGCTAACTTTTTGAATTGAGAACAAGCCCAGAGACTGGGAGGTGGAAGCTTAACTCAATCTCTATGTGAAAATCTGTTATCCTAACCATGTGGCTATATAGGATTGTAGTAACTCACTGATCTCTGCAGCCCCCCCTTGCAATGCTGAATTCCAGTAAATTCAACATCTGGACCAATCCCAGCCAAAGGAAACGAAAAATCCTCCAGCACAATGGACTCAATGAGATATCTAAACATTCTTCACCAGAAGAAACCCTGGTGCTGACAATCTAGGTCTTCGTTCTATCTTTTTTTTTTTTTTTTTTTTTTACATCTTCGTTCTATCTTACTAGGTGCATCTACACCTTGAGGTAAACTGGAATAGCTGCACAAAATATAGAATTTTGTATATTTAAGTCTAATAAATAAGGCAAATTATCTCACACAAATTACTATGCCTTAAAATAATAAAGAACGAGGAAACTGTTGTTTAATGGGTTTAGGTTTTCAGTTTTGCAAGATGAAAAAGTTCTGGAGATCTGTTTCACAACAATGTGAATACAGTTAATGGCTACTGACCCATATACTAAAAATTAAGATGGTAAGTTTTCTTACGTACTTTTTGCCACTTTAAAATAAATAATACCAATAACCACATTATTTAAATCATCAAAATAATATAGATTCCAACTCCAAGTTAAGTGAAAGGGCTTGCCTAACGCAGTCATTAAAGAACTGGTTAAAGAATAACACGTACTGAGTTCCACCACATTTTCCAGTGAAAGTGGTGTACTTCGGACCCCAAAAACAAGATTTAGCCCATAGTATGCTGCAGTTCTATATGTATTTTTTAAGATTTTATTTATTCATTCATGAGAAACAGAGAGAGAGAGAGGCAGAGACACAGGCGAAGGGAGAAGCAGGCTCCATGCAGGGACCAGGATGACGACCTGAGCCAAAGAAAGATGCTCAACCACTGAGCCACCCAGGCGTCCCTGTAGCTCTGTTTTAAGTTACAACAGGAGTCACCCATGTTGCTTGTTGACCTGAACTGCCTGAAGACAGCTCCTGGAGAGCTAGTGCCCTGCCAAGCTACACCATTCCCTCACCCTCCCAGAGCTTCATTTGGTCAGAGAATCATCCAGACTACCGCAAAGGTACAATCCTATAATCTGAAATTCCCCTTGAGGCCATTTGCACGCCTCGCTGTCAAGCCCATCCAAAGTTAGTTGCTGCCGGTTGGCTGATACTGAGCGATTCCTCTCTCTCTCTCTCTCTCTCTGGAGGCCTGGATGATCAAGGATCCCACCTTTGCCGAGGAACCCCTTCCCATGTTCTAACTTGTATTACATTGGTTATGCATACATCCTTCCTCCCCGCCAGACTGTGAAGTTTCTGGAACGTAAAGGATCTGGGCCTGAGTCTGGTTCCTCTTGGCAACTACCATACAGCCTAACGGTGCCGGGTTTGCGGAGATGCCAGTAAGTGACAAGGAATCCCGAAAGAAATCCTCCTCCGGCTTTTCACTGACCATTCCCTTGCCCCTTTCAGGGGCAATAGTTCTGGGCAGCGGAGGAGGAGCAAAGAAGGATTCTAGAAAAAAGCGGTCGTCCACCTAACGACGCAAGAAAAGTGAATCGTCGCATCAGATGAGGATTTAGACTATTCAGGAAGGAAGGCGTGAAAGGGAAAAAGACCACTCCTGGGGCAGCGTGTGAAAGGATAGACAAGACGCAGCCCCAAGCCTCGGGGGGCTCACGAACCAGCGCGGCAGGCAGACACGGACAGGCACGACGGCAAAGCTCGAGGGGACCTGGGGTCTCCAAGGGAAGGTGGTGCAGCTTCCTCGCGGCCACGCGCCCCGCCGGGCCCCGCACTCACTCTTATCCAGAGGGCGGGTGAGCTCAGCCCCGACGTCGCCATCCGCGCTGGGGCCCTGAGGTTTCACAGTCAGCGGTACGAACAAGGACGTGTTCGGGGCTTTGGAGCCTCCTGAGGCAGAGGAGGAGGAGGCGGCGGCGGAGGCTACGGCAGACACGCGCCCTAGAGCCCCAGGAAGGGGTTCAACGCGGGCGCGAAGAGCAGAGCAGGCGGCGGCCCGGTGGCCCACCCGGCGCCCCGCCGGGAGCCGAGCCCACAACAGGGCACACCGGGGGAAGGACATCGAGGCCACGGGCCCTAAAGGAGGCTGGAGGGAGCCGCCGAGACCTTGGCGGTGGACAATGACGTGCCCCGCCAGCGCCCCCTGTCCAGAAAGACCCAGACCGAGCCGGGGAGCTGCCCAGGATAAAGCCCGATCGATAAATAGAAAAGGTACTGTCGCGAGATCGTTCATAAAGAAGAGGAAGAGCTTAGAAATAAAAAAGCATAAAGTAGAAGTTCTCGTTCTCGTTCATCTTTTTCATTATTGATTGGGTCAGCTTTCTCCAAAGAAAAGAAAATAATCAGGCACCATCGAAGATGCCACAGGTCCCGGGAGGGGCCTGCGAGCCGTGTCACGTGACGCGAACCAGGCCTGTAAGAGAGCGCGAGCTCAGAAGCACGTGGGCAGCCGGGTGCGCGGTGCGGGCCGAGCTGGCGGGCTGGCGGGTGTGCGTGCTGCGGGCGCCCGCGCGGCCCGCCGACCCTAACGCTGCAGAGCCTTTCCCGGTTTACTGGGTTCCTGATTTGCGTTTTCTGATTAGAGTAGCGTTAGGGAACATGACTTGATCCGGCCTTTTGAAGCGTTGCTAAGGGATTTTTTTCCTGCGAGTTCTTAGGTGATCCCTCGCGTGACACTTGTTTTTATGATGGGAGCAGTTTGTGTGTATCGTCCAAGCAGCTGAGGTGTCACAACCGCGTAGCAAAAATAAGCCCTCCGTATCCCAGCCCAAGGTCAGTTTCATTTGCATAAGTTGAATAATGTGTGATAGAAGGTTGCAACGTGTTAATTCAACACGTTATATTTTCCACATCTCCCTTGTTATGCCTAAAGCAACACCTTGCAACTTGAAGAGACGTGTCATGTGATATGTAATATCGTGTGTCAAATAGGATACCAGTAACATTTGCTAGTGTGCAATGTGCCTTTCATTCACAGAATGTGTGTGTATTTTTGTTGTTGTTTTTAAGATTTTACTTATTTATTCACGAGAGACACAGGCAGAGGGAGAAGCAGGCTCCATGCCGGGAGCCCGACGTGGGACTCAATCCCGGGTCTCCAGGATCACGCCCTGGACTGAAGGCGGCGCTAAACCTCCGAGCCCCCTTCGCCCCCCACCCCCCACCCCTGGCGTCCCTTTGCTGTTGTTTTTTAAGTAAATTCTACCCCCAAGGTAGAACTGGAACTCAGGACCTCTAGATCAAGAATCACATGCTCCGCACTGAGCCAGCCAGGCGCTCCGCAGAATATATTCCAAACTTCAGAATACAAGTAGATAACCCCTTCTCAAAAAGTTTCGGATCTGATTTTGGTGGTATGAATGCACAAGTTAAATAATGCAAATGCTTGTTAATCTTAGGCTAATGAGAGTTCAAAGGCTAATGAGCAATTTCAGATCCTTAAGGAAGCCTCTGCCAGACTTGGAAGCAAACAACAAGTAAGCTGTAAGGAAATTCTAGTCAGAGGAAAGGATATAAGCAGAAGCCTAATTATGGAAAAAGCATACTGAAAAAAAATTTGAGTAATGGAATTAAGGCAGGCTTCTTTCTGTGTTTGGCAAAGAGTTTTTAAATTTTTGAAGAATCAATTAGAGCCTAGGAGAGAGTGGAACAATTCCTCTGTCTCCCCCGAACCCCCTGCCCAAGAAAAAAAATCAGGGAGGAAAACCAGTTATAACTATAGCAAAATTTCTAGCTGAAGATGGTGGATTAGTGGGTCTGAATTATGGTAGAGACCCTGTATATGGAATGGAGATAATTAACAAAAGAATCCTTAAGACAATTTTAATGTGACGGAAAATGCCACTAAATAGGGATGTCTCATCAGATTTGGACACTGAGAGAATGAACAACCCAAATACTTAATATGCAAAGAGGCTGATGTTAGTCCTTTTGTTAATAAACAGCTTTAACTGGTAACTGCACCTACTTGCTGGTCTAAATTGTGGCCTAATTTTTATGATAGTGTATATGGGTTATCCTCTTCAGCTATTCATAGAGTTCTATAAACATTGAAATGGGAATATTCAACCTAAGATTTTTGCTTTTACAGGACAGAGAGCCGCGATTTCCCTTTGGGAGTTATATCAGCAACTAGTACATGTTAGAGCCTCCATAAGTGTTTTGTTTTGTTTTGTTTTTTTAAGAAATGAATGCAATAAAAAAAATGGATGCAATAACCATAATTGATATCCTTGCCTTATCTCAGGCCTCCCTCATACTCTGCACAGTCACCATAATGATCTGAAAACACAAATCTGGGGACACCTGGGTCGCTCCATTGGTTAAGCATCCAGCTCTTGGTTTTGGCTCCATTTGTGATCTCAAGGTTGTGATATGGAGCTCAGTCAGGCTCTTTGCTGAGTGTGGAGCCTACTTGGGATTCTCTGTCCCTCTGCCTCTACCCCCACTCACATGCGTACACAGAGTCTCTCTCAATATAAGTAAATAAGATTTTAAAAACCCACAAATCTGAATAACTTATTCCTGTTTAAAATCCTTCAGTGTATTCTAAGTGTCGTGATAAGACACATACTCCATTCATTTGTACGGCATCCAAGGCCATTCCAAAATTGGCTCTCCTTATGTTGTCTCTCTGCTCCCCATATCTATCATTCTATTCATGCCAGAACTACACACCATTTATTATGTCTTCATTACTCACCTCTGTACATCTGAACTCATTGGGTGCCTCTCTTGTATGTCATAGGATCTAGTACACCTGCTATCAAGCGCCAAAATTGGGTCATAACTGTGTCTCTAGAGTAGTGCAGTTGAACAACACAGGTTTGAACTTTGTGCGTCTACTATTGTATGGATTTTTTTTATAAACACAGTTTTGCACATATATTTTCTCATGATTTTCTTAACACTTTCTCTAGCTTATTTTATTATACAAATACACAAATGCATATAACATGCAAAATGTGTGTTAATCTACTGTTTATATTATTGGTAAGACTTTTCAGTCATTAGTTAAGTTTTGGAGAAGTCAGAAGATACACACATATCTATTCCACAGGGATCAGTGCCCCTACCCCCTGCTTTGCTCAAGGGTGAAGTGTAGTTTTCAAGCTTTGAGTGCATCAGAATCATCGGGAAGGCTTGTTGAAAAAAAGTTTTGAATAGGTGCCTGTGTGGCTCAGTTGGTTGCCAACTCTTGATTTTGACTCAGGTCATGATCTCAGGGTCCTGGGATTGATCTCTGAGTCAGGCTCAGTGGTGAGTCCCAGAGATTCATATTCATTCTATCTATCTATCTATCTATCTATCTATCTATCTATCTATCTATCTATCTATCTATCTATCTCTATCTCAAATAAATCTTTAAGAAAAACTGTTGGGGTCCTACTGCCACAGTTTCTGATTCAGGAGGTCTGGTGTAGAGCCCAAGAGTTTTCATTTCTAAATTGTTTCCAGGTGATGTGTTTCCCTGCTGGTGTGGGGGCCACACTTTGAGAACACTACCATGGATTATAGCTCCATCAGGGTAGGTGGGGCCAAGAAAACAGCATATACAGTCAGAAAACATGCTGAATATATGCATAAATACCGAAATAAATGGGGGAGAGGGAAAGAAGTGGAGAAAGTAAATATAACTCAGGTGGCTGGGAATAAAATAAGCAAGTTCCTCTGTCCTTTGCCTTTGGTATTAACAAAACCTGGTATAGAAGGTTTCACAAAGCACATCCTGATATATTTCTCCCCTCATATCTTGCCTATACCAAATTATGTCGTGTCTAGAATTTTTCCAATGTAAGGTTATCATGACCTAAATACTAAATTGCTTATCCTAAGTGAATTTTTAACATTTTTCTTAGAATCATGGAATATTAGAGCAACAAGGGGTCTTAAAGATGATCTGGTCTGGTTTCCCCAAACTAAGGAAAGGGCAACTATCAGATGCATTTGTGGGACTTGTAGATAGCACCATTATGGCCCTGCTCTGCTCTTTCTTGCTTTCCCTCCCAGGCCCAATAAAACTAGACTACCTAGTTTGTTTCCTTTATTCTAATGCTGAGGTGCATAATAATGCTTATCCATAATTTCATTACATTTGGACTTATTTACGGATTGTTGACCATGATGGCCAAGAAAGAATTCTTGAGATATTCTACAGTACAACATAGTAAATTTATTTAAGTAGCACAGGGACAGGACCCATGGGTAGAAAGGGCTGCACTTTTGCTGTATGAAGCTGGTGGTTATATGTGTAGTACTCAAGGGGGAGGGAATGTGCAGGGAATATTAGATCATAACTGTTTTCTTCAAATTTCTACTTGTAAAACTACTTTTGAAGATTTCTCCATTGCTTCTCATTCAACTTGGTATTAACTCCTGATGAGATGTACAGGCAGTCATGAGACCCTTTAAGAATGTAGCAGCCAGCACATATGTGATCCTTATCGAAACTGCACGCCATAGGTCAGCTTTCTGGGCTAAAGGTGAACATTTTTCTGTTTCTGTCCCTCATGATTTCCCTCCTATTAATTTTTGGTACTTAATTCTTTAAGGTGGTTGGAGGACAATGGGCTCATCTTCTGTAACTTCTTCAAGCTGACAGGGGTCATAGAAATGTCCCTACACATGGATCGAAATGAGTTACTGTCCATTTCCACATGTAACTATTACAGAAGACAATTGTAGAGTACAAAGGTGACATCGGGGTGAATTTGTTTCAAGTAGTAAGAATCATCTGCCGACTGGGCAAAGGAGTTGGGAACTGCTTGTATGTATCTCAACAATAGGAGAGAACAAGGTAAAAGACAACATATTAAGATTAATATAATAAGGGACACCTGGGTGGCTCAGCAGTTTGGCGCCTGCCCTCGGCCCAGGGCCTGATCCTGGAGTCCCTGGATCGAGTCCCATGTTGGGCTCCCCACATGGAGCCTGCTTCTCCCTCTGCCTGTCTTTCTCTCTCTGTGTCTCTCATGAATGAATAAATAAAATCTTGAAAAAAAAAGATTAATATAATAAAAATAAATGTGATAAGGTAAACTATAGTCCACCTCTTACCCAGGAATTCAACCAATCATTAAATGACAATGCATGGGGGTCTTTAAGAGCACCAATTTGATTATTCCTGTCAGCAATTCTGTTATATTTTTGTCATAATCTGGAATGTAGACACAACACTCCACTTTAATAATGGCACCTGTTTTTCCTTGTGCTGCTCTAAGACATCTAATGCCATTCTGTTTTGTAGAACTGTGTTACACAGTTGGATCATTTTAGTGTTTAATAATGCTATTTTGGGGGTTAAGGCCTTAGTTGTATATTTGCCAAGAGCTCCATGTGCGATATGACATCTAAACTTACTGATGGAAGAAAGATAGATGCCAGATGGTCAGACCAATGGAGCACAGATCTGTCATTGTCTTAGATATGGAAAATTAGCTGGATTTGTGCTAGTCTTATTACTGCTATGACTGTGCATCCAGGCATAACCTATGGTACATCTTCCAGTCCAGCCTAGTGGAAGCCATGGCTACAAATTGGGCCCACATAACCACTGCATTCCATTAGGGGCTAGCCATCTGACGCCTGGTTTCCTGTTCAGTCAGTAGCAAACTAATTGGTTGCCTGTAAAAAGGCTTCCAGGGAGAGCCATCCCACTTGGCAAGTATATTGGGCCATGAACCAAGGGTATGGTTTTTCTGTTCCCAGCATAACAGAGCCTTTGGCTTAGCTGTCCTATTATGGGAGTGAGCCACATATATCCATCCCATATTTGATATAATCTTTCCTGAGTATATTGATGAGAGGTACTATGTTTTGATAAGCCTATCACTGGTTTGGCATATTCAGTTAAAATTTTGATAGTTTAAGGATAAGAGAAAGGCTTCTTATGGCCTGGAGAGTTCCGTGGAACATTTAACATAGACCAGAAAGAAACATTCTTTTTAGTAATAGAAATATCCCTCTATGTGTTGGTGTTGGGGTGATGTGCCATATCAGCTATGTATTGATGTAAATAATGCCAATCTGTACCTTATGGTGGAGAAACCCACCAAGGGAGGTCTGAAGTGCTTGATACAGGCAGGAAGCCACAAATATAATGCAAAGATTGGTTTTGTAGCTCAGTGTAATGTTGTGGCCATTGTAAAATAGTTATTACTTGGGTAGGATGTGCATGTCTGCTAAAACTCTGGATACATCAGCAGAGTCATCTGGGATATATATAAAGCATTTAGTCTTGATATTAGCATAATAACTTTTTCTTTGACTTGCAGTCAGGATATCAAGGGTCGTTAGGTTTTGTGGTGGTTTTTTTTTTGGGGGGGGGCGGTTTGGGGAGGTTTTGGGTTATTTTTTAAAAGATTTTATTTATTTGAGAAAGAGCAAACAAGCAGGGGGAGTGGGAGCGGGAGAGGGAGAAGCAGGCTCTCCACTGAGCAGGAAGCCTGACGTGGGTCTGGTTCATGACCTGAGCTGAAGGCAGATGCTTAACCCTGGGCCATTAGGTTTTGGAGGGCAAGTTTTCAAATTTGTGGGTGACTTCATGTTGGTTTTGGTTAAAGGTAGCTGCTGTATACTTGGCTAAAGTCTCTGTTGGTAATTTCACATCAATAGAGGTGGCTCCCAGGACAAAGATGGCTAAGGGATACAACCATTAAAAAGTTTTCTTTGAAAAAAAAAAGTTTTCTTTGCCTGATGTCTAGTCTTAACAATATCCTAATCATGAGGAAACGTTGGCATGTGGGATATGACTTGTCTGGGGAGGTAAGGGTGTCCCCAAGTGTATTCTCCAATCCAGTTATAGGGAAGGTGGGGCCATCCATTATCTCCAAAGAGTAACAAGCGAGAAGATTGTCTGTATATGAGCTTTTATGGCAATCTCTGAAGTTTACCTTGTTATCTAGCTTAAGAAAACAACAAACAGTTAAAAACTAAAATGGAACATCAACAAAAGAATGTTATT